TGGGTTGTTTGAACCCAACATTTGGGATTGTCCATATTTGACCCAAATTTGGGTTAAAACAACCCAGCATTTTTTAAGAGTGTGAGCTGTGAGTTATACTTGTGGTAAAATCTAGTGAATAATTGCCGTTAAATCCATTTCAGGAGGTCACGCTAACCAGGGGTTAACATTAACACACACCAACACGCCAAACGCACCCGATTTCAGCAGTGATGTGTAACAGACACTCTTACTAGCCACTTTAGCGGGTTGGATTTTATATAAAATATAGCTTATACATTTTTCAATTGCAGTCTTTTAAAAAGGCATCTGAAATAATAAACTAAGTGCTATGTATAATTGTCAAAAATATAGATTTTTTTGATATTGAAATGTCTTAAACACTTCCAATACTAATTTTTCGCAGAATAGATACAGGATGGCCTTACTCTCTCTAATCCAGGGGTCTCAAACTCAAATTAACTGGGTCTGGGTCAGGCCGGGCCGCATCAAGTATTCCAAAAAAAAAAAAAAAAAAAAAGAATTTAAGTATTCCAAAAATGGAGCACACCTGATCCAATCTTCTCAATCTTTATTATTAACGTTTCTTCTGAACTGTTCCTCTGAATTTGAACGTTCCTTTCTGTACATGATTGGTTCTTCATGAGCTGTCCTTCTGACAGGTGAAGTTCATTTTACAAACTTTCTTTGTCTTTTTCTTATACACAACATGATGATAGTCATATTTGCTTTTTATTTTCTTTATGCAACACTATTATATTGAATGTTTGTTTGTTTTTTTCCCCGAAAGGCACATTTCCTTTTATTATACTTAGAAAAACAATTATTGCTTTTGAAATACAAATAATTCTTTCTACACTTGTCTAGTGTCCCAGGCAAATTACTGACTTTGCTCACATCAAAGCAAACCTTCTTATCAACCTGTTGGACCAAGTTAATTACATGAACTAGTTCAAAGTTCAGTTCACAAATTTTAAAATGAACTAGTTCATAGTTCTTTTTTTCCATATGTTCCTGTGAACTTCTTTTTTATTATTAGGCTATTATTGCCACAGCCAATATACAACCACAGATAACAATCATTTTATCGACGGGCAAAGTTTGCACAGACATGTAAGATTTTCCCATCCTCACCGACCTCATAAAACCCTTTTAAATGATCTTACGACGCCTCCTCGCTCCTCGGTTCACAGCCACTAGAATGAACGAGTTCACTAACGTTCATCAGGCAGTAATACAGTAGGCTACGTTCAGTTCACGTTCGCCCAAAATATGAACGAGTTCATTAACTATCGTTCACTGAACGCGTTCAGACACAACATATATTACAAGCTCAAAATGATTATTCTCACATTGTTTTAGAGCAGGGGTATCCAACACGTCGCTCGCGAGCTATCAGTAGCTGTGGCCTGATTTGGTGGTGGTAGCTCGCCTTGGGCCTGTTCACATATCGCGCTCACATATTTTGCACGCTCAAGTACGTATCAAGCGCCGAGCGCGCTTTTATATTTATTTTTTCCAGGCGCCGTATATTTGTACTTTGTGGTTGTCTATGACAACTATTGACAACAAACCCACCGTAAGCTGTCACGAGACTATATATGGTAGCCCATAAGGGATAAAAATAATAATAATTTAAAAAAAGCGGCAAACGCAACGACGGGCCGCACTAACATTAAACTTTAATATCAAGTAGGGGGCCACAAAATATCATCGGCCGCGAGTTTGAGACCTCTGCTCTAATCTCTCCAACAATGAGTGAACCCGCCTCCACTCACTCACTCATTTAATTTGCTCCGCATGAGTATTGTTGCTGTTAGAGGGCTTGAATTTCACCCAGGGATTGCGCGTATTGCGCATAATTTGACTCATTACCGCACATTTTATGTTCACAAACAAAATGTACGCACATAAAGCCGCCTCTCAGAACTAAATTGATTTCTTATTGCCCTAGGAGTAGTTTACTTTTTAAAAAAAACTTTTGCTGATAATTTACTCACCCCCATGTTATCCAAGATGTCCATGTCTTTCTTTCTTCAGTTGAAAAGAAATGAAGGTTTTTGATGAAAACATTCCAGGATTTTTCTCCATATAATGGACTTCAATGGGAACCAAACGGTTCAAGGTCCAAAAGACAGTTTCAGTGCAAACTGCAAACTGTTCAAAGGGCTTTAAATGATTCCAGACGATGAATAAGAGTCTTATCAAGTGAAACGATCACTCTTTTTTTAAATAACAACAGAGTTTAAGTTTTATAAGCTCAAATGGTCGCCTTGCTCTGTTCTGTGATGCGTGTTCGTGACTCTCCTGTTCAAACTCGTTCATCAAAATGAGCTAATCTTTTTTCGTGTCATTTGGTTCATTCAACAAACGAAATGAATGAATTGACTCAGAAAAAGATTTTTTTCATTTTGATGAACAAGTTCGAACAGGAGAGTCATGAGCGCGCATCACAGAACAGAGCAAGGCGAGCATTTGAGCTTATAAAACTTAAACTGTTGTTATTTAAAAAAAAAAAAAACAGCGTTTCGCTTGATAAGACTCTTATTCATCGTCTGGAATCATTTAAAATCCTTTGAACAGTTTGCACTGAAACTCTCTTTTGGACCTTGAACCGTTTGGTCCCCATTGAAGTCCACTATATGGAGAAAAATCCTGGAATGTTTTCATCAAAAACCTTAATTTCTTTTCGACTGAAGAAAGACATGGACATCTTGGATGACATGGGGGTGAGTAAATTATCAGCAAAAGTTTTTTTAAAAAAGTGAATTACTCCTTTTAACAGTCAAATAGACACAAAATAATGTCAAAATACCAGTCTTGGCTAGCCTAGTATTCACGTAAACACAGAAAGAAAACGCATGTGTAACAGAATAATGGATCCGTGCGTCAGGTCTTAAAGTGACAGCAGCCTAATATGTCTGCTATATCCCCCCATGGTCTCAATGTCAAAATGGTGACAAGTGAAAATGTTGAGTGTCTAGTAACTTTGGAAAACCTCTAGATATTGTGGTAGTAGAGCAAAAAAGTCAATGTCAAGCCCTGACGCTAACTGTGGCGTCCCTTTACTCACCCAGAACACGAGCCACCAGTGAGAGAATGACACTCATGATGACGAAGGTCCAGTTCCAGCGGTGCGGCCCGGCCACTGTGGACACTCCCAAGAAGATAAAGATGAGCGTGTCACTCACGCTGCTCCACATCTTCAGGAAGTACTTGATGGTGGTGTGGGATTTATGGGATATGTTGGCCTCCACGTAGGGACGCGTGACGGCACCACATGCGATTAGCCTGGAAACAGAAGATCAGATCGGTTCAACTAGCACAGCTTGAAAGGCATTTTGGACAGCCAGTTTGGGCGATATGGCCACAAAGATATGCCACAACTGTTAAAATTGGCCTTTTGTGTCCATAGAAAAAGTCCAGCTCATGAAAAAATGTCATCAAATAGAAATAACAACAATTAGAATTAATTGTCCTAGAGGTAGTTGAAGTCTGAGGTCCAAGACTGGATGAATTTTGACAGGTCCTAACCAGAAATTTGCATAATTTTCAATAATTCATCAAAAATACATTAGCATACATCCTTGAAAGTGAACATCTCACATACCCTCATTTAGTTTGACATGTGATAATCTAATTCCGGCAACCGACGGGTCATGACAACTTAGAATTAGCTGAACTGACTCGGTTTTATATGAAAGTGTACATGAAAATGAAATTACATTATTATGAGGGTGTGATTCAATGGCTATCGCCACCTGTTAAATGTATGACCTGCTATGATACGCAGTTAAAGTGCACTGGGTCATGTGACCTGACCTTTGATTGGGATCACATTATCAGGGTTGATCATTTTAAGTCCTGTGCTAGTGAGGTGGCTCCTCCTCTGCCGTTTCTTCCTCTTTTAAAAAGGGAAACTCAGTGACAACACTTCCTGTGACCGCACTGAGGCATGTTTTAGGTGTAATGTTTTGCATAATAGGATATTTCACAGCTCAAAAACAAAAGAAATGTGCTTTTTAATAAGAGCAATAAGGCTGTGTGATGTCCTTATGTTTAATGCATTATTAATTTTTGATTTAGATTTTTAAACAAGGGGCGAAAACTACCCTTTTTAGTCACGTCAAAGCAAACATAAAATAATAAACCGTATTTTACCTCCGTAAGTGCCTCTCAAACAGCTTCACAAAGCGCTGTACACAAAATAAGCAATACATAGCTCAAGTAATAAAAGCATCAACAAACAAATGCGAGTTAAAAAAAAAATGTCTTCAGTCTACCTTTAAAAATGTCATAGGTCTGGACTTCCCAAAGTTCATAAGGCAGAGTCTGAAGAGAAAGCCCCAGTCACCCATAGATCTTAAGTAGAGCCCGAACGATAAAGGATTTTGAAGGCCGATACCGATACAAATATTTTGGGGTTTTAAAATCCGATATTCCGATATATCGGCCGATATTTTATTTATTTATTTGAAACTGGACATAATAGTCACAAATTTTGTCATGCTTATTTGAGTTAAGAGAGTGTTCTTTTAATTGTTATTCAAGCAATGTATGTATCGTGACCAACTCAACGAGTGTTGCCGACAGGAACGGTGTAGAGTGCCCTCTAGTGGACAAACTATACAACTCCAACACTCATGACATGGTTCAAGCGTGTTTCGTCCGTTTTTATTTTATTTTTGAAATATTCATTTATCGGCCATTATAACTGCCGATACCGATAGTTTGGAAAATGCCTAATATCGGCCGATAATATCGGTCTGCCGATATATCGGTCTGGCTCTAATCTTAAGCATGTATGAGGAACCACCAACAAGTTAGATTGTGAAGATCGAAATCTACAATTTGGGGTATAAGGATTTAACAATTCAGATAAATAATGTGAAGACAAGCCATTTTATACGTCAGCGTCATAATTTTAAAATCAACTGGGAATATCAACGGGAGCCAGTTTAAGGACTCCAAAACTGGACAGATGATATGATCGCACACCCAGTCAATATCCTGGCGGCCGCCTTCTTTACATATAGCAGTTTGTTTAGTGTGGTCGTTAAAGTGATCTATCCGAGATATGACAAGGAAATTTAGTAGCTTTTCAGCTACATAGAAATTTAGCATGGGACGCAATCTTGCTATATTTCCAATGGTGAAAAGGGAATAATATCACTTTGTACTGTACTGTAGTACAAAAGAAACAAATAAAAGACTAGTATCAAAAAAACTCCAAGGTTCCTCGCTTTACTTTGACTATTGATGGCTCTGTTTTGGAGACTCGAAGAAAGAGAACCAACTTTGGAAATTTGATGACGGGAACCATTGAGCATCACTTCTGCTCAAACACAAAAAAATGATTACTCTCATCCATGTTTTATCTTATAAATACAGCCGTAGAGAAAACCAACATCAGGGTGTTCACCAGATGTTGAGTGTAATCGGCGTATCATCATAAAACAAATAAATGCTAAAGAGCAGAGGGCCCAAGACTGAGCCCTGGGGAACACCAGTGAAAACAGACTGAGAACAGTCAGTAAAATATGATTTACACAACTTCAAAGCTGTCCCCGAAACACCAAAATCTTGTTCAAGGAAGGCAGATGAGTATAGGTAATTAAACACAAGTGAGAGGCAAAACCACACAAGTATTTTCTGCCAAGAATGGACAATTAGAGATAAGTCGAAAATTATTAAAATCATCCAGGGCAAAATAGTTAGTAGTTTAAAGAAGAGTAGATAATGACATGAGCAATGCAAATGTCATCCTCAGATATATAAACTGATATGCAAGTCACTTTGGATAAAAGCATCTGCCAAATAGACCATTTGTGTGTTTGCGAACGGCGATGTGTTGGTGGCGGAAAATGAAAGAGTCCATGAAAGCAGAGGAATAAAATAATTTTTAAAAGGTAATTTTGAGTTTACAGTATATCTCACCAAGCCTGCATTTATTTGATCAAAAATACAGTAAAAAGTGTAATATTGTGAAATATAATTACAATTTCAAACTGTTTTCTATGTAAATATATTGTAAAATGTCATTGATGCAAAGCTGACTATCAGCATCATTACTCCTGTCTTCAGTGTCACATGATCCTTCGGAAATCACTCTAATATGATGATTTGCTGCTCAAGAAAGGATTATCAATGTTGAAAAAAGATATGCAGCTTAATATTTTTGTGGAAACTGCTAAAAAAAAATGTAAAAAGTTAAAAAGATCAGCATTAATAGGAAATAGAAATCTTAAGTAGCATTACATGTATTTTATTGTAAATGTATTTATTGTTAAAGCATCCTTGCTGAACTAAAGTATTCATTTCTTTTAAAAGGAAAAACAATCTTACTGAGGCCAACAATTTGAATGGTTAAATACTTAATTATTAACTAGACTGCCCAGCCCTAGTAAAAACTATCCATTTAAATCGTTTTGTTGTAATAAGGTGGAACGGTTTTGATAACGTTGAGACACATTGTGAATTACTGCTCGGTTTCCAGGCCTGTCAGAGCCTCAGACTCTTTCTATCATCCACCAGACCATAATAACCAAGAGCCGTCTTCAGCACCGGAGTATTGACTGAGCTCTGACAGCCTTTTACTTACGAGCCTCGAGGACACAGTGAATCCAAACGCCTTTAGACTATATATCAAGTGTCAGCCACAAGCTGTTAAATCACTGGATGCTTTCAAATTGCAGAAATACCAGTTTTGACGCGTTTCATCTGGCCCTGTTTATTGATTTTATCATTTAGGTCACAAACAGAATAAGCTCTTGTGAAATTCAGTCTCCTGCAAAATGCACCCGACACTTATAACTAAATTTAAATATTAAAGAAATTAAAAGCTTAAATCAACATGAAATATAACAATTTACGCTCTTAATGCATGAACGATCTGTACATGTTATTTCAAATATAAAAATGTCTTCACGGTAATAAAAAGGAAAATAAATGTATTAATTTTGCTAAATTCTTCAATTATATCATGAATTCAGCCATATTTATTGTGCATCAGCCACTGATATACCTATAGTCTGATTTTTGATCAATTTAAAGCATTGGCATTTCAGATATAGCATGAAAAGGCTGATATAACAAACCGATTGTTTATTAATTAACTGCGTGAAGGCACTAAGTTGTATGTCTGTTGCCTACAATGTTTTTTTCTAGTTAAAATAGAGTGCCGAAGTGATGACGTCACTTTGTAAGACAACTCGGAAGCTAGCGGCGTATGTGCTCCCTCGATCGAAAAGCTATGCATTTTCCCCATAGACTTTTGGAAAATAGCAAAAAATAAGATCACAAAGAGTTCAACAAAGAGTTGTGACCCTTACATGTTTTGTCTATAAAGATAATCTTTACAAGTTAATCAAGTGTCAGCCACAAGCTGTTAAATCACTGGATGCTTTCAAATTGCAGAAATACCAGTTTTGACGCGTTTCATCTGGCCCTGTTTATTGATTTTATCATTTAGGTCACAAACAGAATAAGCTCTTGTGAAATTCAGTCTCCTGCAAAAGGCACCCGAAATTTAAATATTAAAGAAAGCTTAAATCAACATGAAATATATCAATTTACGCTCTTAATGCATGAATAATCTGTACATGTTATTTCAAATATAAAAATGTCTGTCATTTTCCCACAAATAATAACTTCACGATAATAAAAAGGAAAATAAATGCATTAATTTTGCTAAATTCTTCAATTATATCATGAATTCAGCCGTATTTATGGTGTATCAGCCACTGATATATCTATAGGCTGATTTTTGATCAATTTAAAGCATTGGCATTTCAGATTTAGCATGAAAAGGCCAATATAACAAACTGATTGTTTATTGATTAACTGCATGAAGGCACTAATAAGTTGCATGTCTGTTGCCTACAATGTTTTTTTTCTAGTTAAAATAATAGAGTGCCGAAGTGATGACGTCACTTTGTAGGACAACTCGGAAGTTAGCGGCGCATGGGTTCCCTCGATCGAAAAGCAATGCATTTTCCCCATAGACTTTTGGAAAATAGCAAAAAATAAGATCACAAAGAGTTCAACAAAGAGTTGTGACCCTTACATGTTTTGTCTATAAAGATAATCTTTACAGGTTAATCAAGTGTCAGCCACAAGCTGTTAAATCACTGGATGCTTTCAAATTGCAGAAATACCAGTTTTGACGCGTTTCATCTGGCCCTGTTTATTGATTTTATCATTTAGGTCACAAACAGAATAAGCTCTTGTGAAATTCAGTCTCCTGCAAAAGGCACCCGAAATTTAAATATTAAAGAAAGCTTAAATCAACATGAAATATATCAATTTACGCTCTTAATGCATGAATAATCTGTACATGTTATTTCAAATATAAAAATGTCTGTCATTTTCCCACAAATAATAACTTCACGATAATAAAAAGGAAAATAAATGCATTAATTTTGCTAAATTCTTCAATTATATCATGAATTCAGCCGTATTTATGGTGTATCAGCCACTGATATATCTATAGGCTGATTTTTGATCAATTTAAAGCATTGGCATTTCAGATTTAGCATGAAAAGGCCAATATAACAAACTGATTGTTTATTGATTAACTGCATGAAGGCACTAATAAGTTGCATGTCTGTTGCCTACAATGTTTTTTTTCTAGTTAAAATAATAGAGTGCCGAAGTGATGACGTCACTTTGTAGGACAACTCGGAAGTTAGCGGCGCATGGGTTCCCTCGATCGAAAAGCAATGCATTTTCCCCATAGACTTTTGGAAAATAGCAAAAAATAAGATCACAAAGAGTTCAACAAAGAGTTGTGACCCTTACACGTTTTGTCTATAAAGATAATCTTTACAAGTTAATCAAGTGTCAGCCACAAGCTGTTAAATCACTGGATGCTTTCAAATTGCAGAAATACCAGTTTTGACGCGTTTCATCTGGCCCTGTTTATTGATTTTATCATTTAGGTCACAAACAGAATAAGCTCTTGTGAAATTCAGTCTCCTGCAAAAGGCACCCGAAATTTAAATATTAAAGAAAGCTTAAATCAACATGAAATATATCAATTTACGCTCTTAATGCATGAATAATCTGTACATGTTATTTCAAATATAAAAATGTCTGTCATTTTCCCACAAATAATAACTTCACGATAATAAAAAGGAAAATAAATGCATTAATTTTGCTAAATTCTTCAATTATATCATGAATTCAGCCGTATTTATGGTGTATCAGCCACTGATATATCTATAGGCTGATTTTTGATCAATTTAAAGCATTGGCATTTCAGATTTAGCATGAAAAGGCCAATATAACAAACTGATTGTTTATTGATTAACTGCATGAAGGCACTAATAAGTTGCATGTCTGTTGCCTACAATGTTTTTTTTCTAGTTAAAATAATAGAGTGCCGAAGTGATGACGTCACTTTGTAGGACAACTCGGAAGTTAGCGGCGCATGGGTTCCCTCGATCGAAAAGCAATGCATTTTCCCCATAGACTTTTGGAAAATAGCAAAAAATAAGATCTGTGTTCAACAAAGAGTTGTGACCCTTACACGTTTTGTCTATAAAGATAATATTTACAAGTTAATCCAAAATGTACACATTTTGAAGCCTATATAAAAACCACAAGCAGGTTATAACTGTGTGTTCTATGTCATAGATCAAAACATGAAAATATTTAGAGGCTTTGTTCACCACAGACCTTAATTCAGGTGATTTAGCAAAAACCCATTCAAAAATCCCATAGGCTTTAGAGCGAGGGAACCGAGAGTGCTAAAATGCTAACTCACTTCCGCGTTTTGGCCTACAAAGTGACGTGATAACTTCGGCACTCTATTAAACACTTGCCAAAAAAAATAAAAAATAAATCAGCATATATAGTTTGACAGCAAAAATACCAATAAGCTTGTAAACCTCAATGCATGCGTTTTTGAACTTGGCTAAATCTATTAGCTTTGCTAATCTTTATCTAGCAATCAATTTTAACAATAAAAGTTCAAATAAGCAAGCTTGTTTGTTAAAAATCGATATCCTAAATCAGTGCATCCCTAGTCATTATTTAGCTGACAAGTGACAAACTCGATTCAACAATAAAGCATCTCTAGAGAAGCCAGCAAGAGTTCACTCACGCCATGATGCCGGACAGATGGAAGACCTCCGCGGACAGGTAAGCCATGTAGCTGTAGAGGAAGACAAACAGGGGCTCGATGACACGGGTGTGTGAGGTGAAGCGTGACGTGAAGGCCGCCAGGATGCCGTAGATGGCGCCCACCACGATACCACCCAACGACACCACCAGGAAACACACCACACCCAGGAACACGTCGCTGACCGTGATCGTACCCACACTGTAGTACTCCTCAAACAGATGATACAGCACCTACAGAGAAGAGCAACAACAGGAAGTGTGCATCAGAAATGAACACAATCCAGGGCATCAGAAGTAGAGCAGTGGAGTAGAGCTGCCCTCGATGTTAATGTTAAAAATGTTAAAAACATTTTAATAAATTGTTGGTGATATTTTCGGTGTTTTCGGCCGCAGTAACTGATGCTCCTTTATACAGATTACATCATCTGAGAATATTTATTTTCCATTTAAATTGGTTAATTTAAAAGTAGAGATTTCAAGCTATATATATATATTGAGATTAGGTTCAATGAGACCTGAATGGGAGAAAGCTTTAATTATTTTTACAAAAGCACAACATTTTGTTGTTATAGTGAATTTACAGAAATAAAAGTAGTTCTCAATTAAAGTTTGCATTTCTCTTATCTGTAGGATCAAAAATGACGGCGTATTTTAAGTTAAATGCATGTGATCGTGCAGGACGGCACCTGTGTATATTAAATGTATTGCTCAGTGTTAATTTTAATTTAGCTAAAATAACTATTTAACTATTCATAACTATTTATTGATCTTACTGTAAAGTGGTGCCATTTAGTTAGTAAGATTAGTTAGGTCAATTAGTTTAGTACTTTTGCCGCGAGTGTACAGGCAACATAAGAATATCTGTAATCATCCACTTCTAATATTTCTTTTCTTATGCTCATCAGACTCCTTATGAAATACATTCAGCAGTATCAGTAAACATTCGTTAACCGCTTCCTATATGCGATGTGAAGGACTGGACAACAAATACTCCTTAGATCGCCTGTAATCATGTTTGGCTATGGCTACTATATTGATCACCATCTAAATGTAATTTAT